CTAGCCCCGCCCCCCTCCCAGCTAGTTCCCCCCCATCTCTCTCCATGTTCGTTTTTTTAGCAGGGTCTACCTGGCAACCCTAGCAGCAGGGCAGTGAAATGACCTCTCCTCCCCTCCCCAGGTGGGCTAGGGCTGACAGACAGAAAGTTTCAGCGGTTACACGGTTACCCTACTACACAATTTTTAACATCCCTAATTGATGCCCTACTTTGATCTCCCAGCTAGTTCCCCCCCATCTCTCTCCATGTTCGTTTTTTTAGCAGGGTCTACCTGGCAACCCTAGCAGCAGGGCAGTGAAATGACCTCTCCTCCCCTCCCCAGGTGGGCTAGGGCTGACAGACAGAAAGTTTCAGCGGTTACACGGTTACCCTACTACACAATTTTTAACATCCCTAATTGATGCCCTACTTTGATAGGCAAATGCAGTATGAGACAGTATCTCCACGAAGGAGCATGAAAAGACAGGCACAGGGCAAGAAGAAAACCGAGGAACAGAAAGGTGAAATGACTTGCTCAAGATCACACAGCAGGCCAATAACAGACACAAGAAAAGAAACTAGGTTTTCTGATTTCTAGTCTAGTGATGTAACTGCCGGACCTAACTCCCTCTCACTCCAAAGGAAACCATTTTACTTAGTAAACTCTGTTCTCAGTGGCAAATGTGTACAAAACTAAAAGCAATGTTACTTTCTGAAATAATTAAACTATTCAATTAACATAATTCTGCCCTCAGAGCTGTGCACACAATTCTCACTGGGAGCCCACGAAAAAAAGGTTTTTTATGTGTCTTCCTAAAAGCAGAATTTTGTCATTCAGATATAAAGCAAATTATAACTCATTTAACAGGTTTCAGTCTTAAACTAACTATTAATAATTCCAGTCCAATGTAAGATTTCAGAAAAGCATGAATAATTGAAGAGCTTTGTAAACACCAACTACCTAAATATAAAAAAGCCTTATACTTCAAAGACACAATCTGCCAGTAAAGCATTTAACATTCAGACTGCATTAAAATGTTTCTAATTGGTGCTTTGTTCTTAAATGAGTTTCCATTAAATTGTAACACAATCAAGTCAAGGGCCCCAATTCTATAGAACAATAATATCAAGATTTGCCTATGATCAATTACTATAAACCAAAATAATGTAATAGTGTTAATTTATTCTATCCAAGTTCTTTTTCACATTCATCAGTGTACTCTCTAAGCATCTTCCACACAGGGATAAAATCCAGTCTTATTATGAAGGGATGTGTATGCTAAAACTTAGTGTAATCAAACTGGAGCTGATCAATAAATTAAAAAAATATTTAAATTAAAATTTCTACATTGGTTATATTTTGTGAATGTTCTCAATATTACTGATCTTTTTAAAATCAAACTCATGTCTGAATCTTTTATTTAAAGAAATACCATGTTTGCTTACTGAAAATCCATGGTCTCAGTAAAATTTCTGCTAATTTTGAAAACAATTTCCATATGAATTTCAATCAAAATAGTTCAATCAAAATAATCTGGAGCATGTTGTGAGAAGTACAAGAGTTTCATTATCTACATAGTTTTTTATGAAAAGTTTCATTTTCGATATTGCTGGGTTTGGGGTTGTTTTTGTTTTGTTTTTTTTACAAAAAATAAATATTTGTAAGTACTTTCAATTAAACAAATATGAAAAAATAGCATATTATATAGGATTTTTTTTCTATTATATTGGAAATGAGGTATGATGAATTATGGCCCAATCCCATATAATTTTTACCACTTTTTAAGGTCTTGTTTGCATCTTGCGCCTCCTCATAACTTTCAGTATTAAGCCTTTAGAACAAGGGTGGGCAAAAGGGCCTCTGTGGGCCAGATCTGGCCCACCAAGCAAATTGATCCAGCCCGCAAAGGCCCTGCTGCTCCTTTACCCCCAAGCCAATTGGAGCCTGGGGGCGGGGGAGTGCACGAAACTTCCTCCCGTCCTGCGAGGAGCATGCTGCACTTCAAAGTGCTACGCGCTCCTCACAGAGTGGGAGGAGACGTCACC